ATATCTCAGAAGAAGGTGCAAGAACGCCTGTGAAGGGGAATTTATGGAAATACATAAGAGTCCATTTTAGAAAGCAAATAAGCCAGTTCTTTGTTGAATTGTTTTTTTCCCATTGGAATTATGTGGGTCAGGTGCAAGAACTTACAAACAGCATTTGCTCAGACACTGTCATGTGTGTCTCCTTAAAATAATTATAACTAATTATTAAAATACTTATTAAAAATCTTGATGCAAGCAAGTAATTGAAGGATCTGTAGGTGGAGGAAGTTTGCATTGTAAAAAATCACATCTGCATATCCTTAGCCTGTCTCATTTCTGGGCACCCAGCCCTGGTAAGCATATAAAAAATCTCCCACATAATGTCTGATCCATGCCAGTGTTGACGGATAGCATCAGTCATCCCTGACTGAAGGGGGTGCGAATAATGTGGAAAATCAAGATCTTTTCTCGTCACGGTTTCTTCTTTTGCTCAACCGGACATTGATGTTCTAGCACGGCCAAGCTCCTGTGAGCTCTCTTTAGTACCCACAAAAATAAAAACTGAATTGGAGGTGGGGTTGGCTAACTTAACAAGGTCTCATTTCAAAGCTTTGCCCCGCCCTGCCCCCAGTATGGTGGCTTTTGCAGCAGGTCCTTTCCCAGCTGAATCAGAGCTCGGGGGTACCACACAGTCCTTTCTCTTCACATACTGATTAGTTGTTAGAGGCCAAGGAGACCAATGATCCCCTGTTGCTCTCCTCTCACAATTGTCACAATCATGGGTGGGTTGTATCCCTCTCTAGTGGCTACTCAACAGAAAATGGAATTTCAAGGTGACAGGCTACTCTAGGTAACGGTGTTACCACTTAGTTCAGGTGGCTGAGGTCTGAGTTATAATCCTGATGTCCTACGATGAGAAAACATTCCAGATCTGTTGTCGGGGTGTTGCATCAGCCTGTGCCCCTCATTATCATTTTTCTGATACAGGTTGCCAGTGTTGGACTCATGGTCCACCCCTTCAAAAACTGTACTCCATGGGCATGGCATGAAAACGAACATGGGGCATTGCCTGCGGAGCAATGTCACCAGGCAATACAGCTCGTTTTCCTGGCCCAGTCTGACATTGGAATCAAGGGAGTTACTCCAGAGATGAATTTGGCCATCAGGTTGGAGCCAGCGGTGGATGGGAACAGTCCAAACGGATGGCCAAAGAGCAACTCCCAGTCCTTTCTGAAGTGACATTATTATTATTTATTGGAATTGTCATAGCAGCTAGGAGTCCTTTGAATGGACCTCGACCCTATTGTGCTCGATGCTGTACAAAAAACACCTGGACCTGTCCTGATTTTCACAGCTGCATCCAGTGTGCTAGAAGACGGATACTCAGAAATCTGGAGTCTGACTAGATTGACCAGAGAGTAAGTGTGAAAAATCGGGATGGGGGACGGGGGACAAGTATAATGAGGAGGTAATAGGGTCGAACGTAAGTCAAATCCCCAAAGAATCAGGACAGTCCCGATAAAATCAGGCTATCTGGTCACGCTAAGCCTGACTCACCCTTCAGATGTGAGCATATTGGGAAGTTGCAGCGCAAGGCAGGTAGCTGGTGGCAGTAGTTGAATATGGTCGAATATTAGGATACCAGCTTGTGGGCATCGGCAGGATTGTCAGGCCGAAGTGCTAAAAAGGCATCAGTGGGACCCCAAAATCATGAGAATTAAAAAAAACAAAA